GTGCCATCTCGCGTAAGAGCCGTGTTTGGTCGTCGCTCATCTGGGAGACCATTCGGGGGGACCGTGGGGGAGATCACGAGCACACCATGCAGGAGATCAGAACGGAGGCCATCAGGGCTAATACCGGAGGCCACGCGGTCATGCGGCAGCCAATCTACAGGGGGCCCCATGAAGGAGAGCCCGGGCCACAGGCCATCGAGGTGCTGGGTCTGCATCGGCCCAGGGCCTCTGCAGACAAGAGCTGGCCAGGGAACGATGCCTCAGAGCACGCGGCGAGTTTGAGACCCACGGCCGCGCCCCGAAGACGCCTCGGGGAACAAGTCCCTGGCGCGGCGCTCGGCTTCTAGCACGCGCGGCCGCGCCAGGGAGCGCTGGGAACTCGGGGCCCAGGCCATCTCGTCGTCATCATCGTCGTCGTCGGCGTCGGCGTCTTCGTCGTCGGCGGCGTCGGCGTCTCAGTCGCCGTCGCCGTCGTCGTCGCCGTCGCCGTCGTCGTCGGCGTCGTCGGGGTCGTCGCCGTCGGCGTCGTCGGCGGCTTCGGCGGCGGGAGCCCGGCCCCCGCCGCCTGCCCTGCCGGCCTGCGGCCCTCTCCCGGCCGCCGGCGCTGCTCCCGGGGCCGGCCGCGGCCGCATGCCGCGCCCCGGGGCGCGGCGGCCGCGCTCGCCCTCGCGGCGGAGGGCGGCGTCTGGGTCGGGCCTGTCCCTCAGCGGCGCGCACAAGGGGGTGGGGGGAGGGGGGAGGGCTTCGTATCGGGGGCGGAAACGAGGGGGGGGAGGGATGGCTAGGGGGGGGTGGATTTCAGGGCGGGGGCCACGAGATGTCCTCAGATTTCACGGCGCCTCTTCTTATTTCACTACGTCCCAGGCCCCCCCGCTGGGCCGCGCATATGCCGCCGGTCATGATTTGCACCCCCCCCCTTGGACACCCCCCTCTTGGCCGCTCACGATCTTAGAAGCACCCCTGCTTCTTAGAAGGCGCGAGGCCGAGGCTTTCTAAGACGTGAGGCCGTGGCTTTCTAAGAAGCAGGGTGCTCCTAAGAAGCCTTCCCCCCTCCCCCTACCCCCTTTTGCGCGCCGCCAAGTCCCTCTGCAGGAGGAAGATTCAGAAACAGTACAAAGCAGTCGGGAGAAATGGTCAGCCCTCCCCCGTCGTCCGAAGAAGAGATCCGGGGGCCTGCGCTGCCACGCTGGCGGATAGCCGGGCGTGCTGTGAGCAGGGGGGCCTCTTCTGCACGTTGCTCTTCGCGCTGGAGGCTACTAGGGCCGATGAGCCCAGAAGACAAGCTCTTGCCTTTGCTCTCCGACCTGTGCTCTCGAAGTCAAGATTCTAGTGGGTTGCCACTATGTGGGATGATTTCTTGACTATTAATCATTTGTCGCCTAAAATCCGCCTGTAGGGGGACAGGCCCGACCTAATGCTACGTGCCACCTGGCATGCTGACACAGGCACGGCCACGGGCTTTTCGCCCAGCACGCCCGCCACCTCGCAGCTGCGACCCGAGGACGCTCCACCTCGTGCCTCGGGGCATGGTTGCTGCTGTTGCTGCTTGCCAGTTCCGAAGCGCAATTTCTGGGAGGTTGAATTCAGCGTTGGAGCTGGTAGTTCCGTGGTCGACACGGACCAGGTGTACCAGCGCCGATGCTGGGCTCGGCCAAGTTGTTGTAGCACCTTCGGGCGAGACGCCCTGGATCGAGGGTCGAGGGTCGAGGGAAGAAGTAGGGTCGAGTTGGAGAGCGAGGGTCGAGGGAAGAAACGCCGAGACCATGACCAAGATGCGGCGGGATCTTGTCGATGCCGATCTTCGTCGTTGCCTGCGTCGGCCGTCGCCGAGCCGCGAGGACGATCCACGAAACGACGCTGACCAAGATCGACGGTGACCAAGATCGACACGACCTTTACACGTTCAGTCTTGGTCATGGCCCCCATGCTTTTCCCCTCCAAAGGAGTGGGGAGGCTCAGCCGCACGCAGAGGGGGGTGGGGGGAGGGGGGAGGGCTTCTCGGAAACACCCCTGCTTCTTGGAAGGCGCGGGCCTTGTCTACAGATGTAAGGCCGGCGCCTTCTGAGGAGCAGCCTCCTTCTGAGAAGCCCTACCCCTGCCTGAGGAGGAGGAGGAGGAGGAGGAGGAGGAGGAGGAGGAGGGAGGAGGAGGAGGAGGAGGAGGAGGCGGAGGAGAGGAAGGAGGAGGAGGCGGAGGAGGAGGAGGGGAGGAGGAGGGAGGAGAGGAGGAGGAGGAGGAGGAGGAGGAGGAGGGAGGAGGAGGCGGAGGAGGAGGAGAGGAGGAGGCGGAGAGGAGGAATGAGGAGAGGGAGGAGGAGGAGAACCCGAGGAGGAGAGGAGGAATGAGCAGGCGGAGGAGGAGGAGAGAGGAGGAGGAGGAGGAGGAGGAGGAGGAGGCCTGTGCGCGCCGCCCAGTGGTGCCCGCCTGCTCCCCGTCGGCGAGGCAGCACCACGGTCGACTTCAACGACGTCGGCAGCGCTGTGCCGCAGGCCGCCTCGAGGACCGCCGCGGCCACCAAGGGGGGAAGAGCAGGAGGAGGAGGAGGAGGAGGAGGAGGAGGAGGAGGAGGAGGAGGGGAGGAGGAGCGAAGGGGAGCGGGGCGGCGGAGGAGGAGGAAGGAGGAGGGGAGGAGGAGGGGAGGGGAGAGCAGGAGGAGGAGGAGAAGGAGGAGGAGGAGGAGAGGAGGAGGAGGAGGAGGAGGAGGCGGAGCAGGAGCAGAGGAGGCAGGAGGAGGAGGAGGAGGAGGAGGAGGAGGAGGAGAGAAAGGAGGGAGGAGGGGAGGAGGAGGAGGAGGAGGAGGAGGAGGAGGAGGAGGAGGAGGAGGAGGGGGTAGCAGGAGGTGCAGGGAGGAGGAGGGGAGGAGAGGCAAGGGAGTTGGGGTTCGGGGCGGGCTTACATTTGTGGGGTAAGCACGGCGTCTGTCTCGTGGGAGGATCTGGCGATCGCAAACATGGTATCAAGGGGGCGTGGACTAGCAACCGCGTCACGTTCAATGGGAATTCGCGGATTTCCGCCGCCGCGCGAGGCGGCACCGGCCGCACCTTGGTGAGGGCACCTCCTCCGATCCATGGATTCGGGGACCGCGCGCCAAATCCACGGATCGCTAATCCATGTCTGCGCTCCCCCGCGAGGGCTTGTGGCGTCGGGGCCCCACGTGCTGTGGTGGCTGCGAACTGAACTCGAAAGCTGTGGTCGATTCGGCCACGCCTCTGTGCAGGATCGACGATCCCAGAGGAGGAGGAGGAGGAGGAGGAGGAGGAGGAGGAGGAGGAGGAGGAGGAGGAGGAGGAGGAGGAGGAGGGGGAGGGGGAGGAGGTGGAGGAGGGGGAGGAAGTCGAGGCTGGACCGGGGGACTTGGCTCGCCTGACTTTTTCCCAACCCTCCTGCGTTGGGTGCTCGTTTTGAATAGAGCACTGCGGTCTCCACCTTCCTTCCTTCCCGCCTCCTCCCGCCTCCCTGGTGGGGCTGCGATCTGTGAAACTGTCGCCACTTTCGAGAGCTGCTGGGGGGCCCAGCGGAGTGACGCCCTACGGGGACTCAGATTAGACCTCGCCATCTCTGGGGGGGCTGCGATCTGTGGAACTGTCGCCACTTTCGGGGGCTGCTGGGGTGCCCAGCGGAGTGACGCCCTACGGGGACTCAGATTAGACCACGCCATCCCTGGTGGGGCTGCGATCTGTGAAACTGTCACCACTTTCGAGGGCTGCTGGGGGGGCCCAGCGGAGTGACGCCCTACGGGGACTCAGATTAGACCTCGCCATCCCTGGGGGGCTGCGATCTGTGAAACTGTCGCCACTTTCGAGGGCTGCTGGGGTGCCTAGCGGAGTGGCGCCCTACGGGGACTCAGATTAGACCTCGCCATCTCTGGGGGGCTACGGTCTGTGAAACTGTCGCCACTGTCGAGGGCTGCTGGGGGGCCCAGCGGAGTGACGCCCTACGGTGACTCAGATTAGACCTCGCCATCCCTGGGGGGCTGCCATCTGCGAAACTGTCGCCACTTTCGAGGGCTGCTGGGGGGCCCAGCGGAGTGACGCCCTACGGGGACTCAGATTAGACCTCGCCATCCCTGGGGGGCTGCGATCCGTGAAACTGTCGCCACTTTCGTGGGCTGCTGGGGGGCACAGCACAGTCTGCACCCGCGGCGGACTCAAATGGGACCTCGCCATCCTTGGGGGGCTGCGATCTGCGAAACTGTCGCCACGTTCGAGGCCTGCTGGCGGGGCCGAGCACAGTCTGCACCCGCGGCGGATTCAAATTAGGCCTCGCCATCCCTGGTGGGCTGTGGTCTGTGAAACTGTCGCCACTTTCGAGGCCTGCCCAGCACAGTCTGCACCCGCGGCGGATTCAAATTAGACCTCGCCATCCCTGGGGGGCTGCTATCTGCGAAACTGTCGCCACTTTCGAGGCCTGCTGGGGGGCCCAGCACAGTGTGCACTCGCGGCGGATTCAAATTAGACCTCGCCATCCCTGGGGGGCTGCGATCTGTGAAACTGTCGCCACTTTCGAGGCCTGCTGGGGGGCCCAGCACAGTCTGCACTCGAGGCGGATTCAAATTAGACCTCGCCATCCCTGGGGGGCTGCGATCTGTGAAACTGTCGCCACTTTCGAGGCCTGCTGGGGGGCCCAGCACAATCTGCACCCGCGGCGGACTCAAATGGGACCTCGCCATCCCTGGGGGGCTGCGATCTGCGAAACTGTCGCCACTTTCGAGGGCTGCTGGGGGGCCCAGCGCAGTCTGCACCCGCGGCGGACTCAAATGGGACCTCGCCATCCCTGGGGGGCTGCGATCTGCGAAACTGTCGCCACTTTCGAGGGCTGCTGGGGGGCCCAGCACAGTCTGCACCCGCGGCGGATTCAAATGGTACCTCGCCATCCCTGGGGGGCTGCGATCTGCAAAACTGTCGCCACTTTCGAGGGCTGCTGGGGGGCCCAGCACAGTGGGTACCCACGGCGGACTCAAATGGGACCTCGCCATCCCAGCACAGTCTGCACCCGCGGCTGACTCAAATGGGACCTCGCCATCCCTGGGGGGATGCGATCTGTGAAACTGTCGCCACTTTCGAGGCCTGCTGGGGGGGCCCAGCACACGACGGATTCCAATGAGACCTCGCCATCCCTGGGTGGCTGCGATCTGCGAAAGTGTCGCCACTTTCGAGGGCTGCTGGGGGGCCCAGCACAGTCTACACACACGGCGGATTCCAATGAGACCTCGCCATCCCTGGGTGGCTGCGATCTGCGAAACTGTCACCACTTTCGAGGCCTGCTGGGGGGCCCAGCACAGTCTGCACCCACGGCGGATTCAAATGAGACCTCGCCATCCCTGGGGGGCTGCGATCTGTGAAACTGTCGCCACTTTCGAGGCCTGCTGGGGGGCCCAGCACAGTGGGTACCCACGGCGGACTCAAATGGGACCTCGCCATCCGTAGGGTGCTGCGATCTGCGAAACTGTCACCACTTTCGAGGCCTGCTGGGGGGCCCAGCACAGTGGGTACCCACGGCGGATTCAAGTTAGACCTCGCCATCCCTGGGGGGCTGCGATCTGCGAAACTGTCACCACTTTCGCGGCCTGCTGGGGGGCCCAGCACAGTGATGCCACACGCAGATTCAAATTAAACCTCGCCGTCCATGGGGGGTTGCGATCTGCGAAACTGTCGCCACTTTCGAGGCCTGCTGGCGGGGCCCAGCACAGTGACGCCTCCCAAGTAGCTTACACATCAAGTTGATTGTCCATACCAGTTTCGGCCAACTCCTCGTTTCCATTGATACAAATGGGTTGGGTACGTCACAGGGTAATTTTTATTGTTTTCGGAGCAGAGGGGTGCGCGCCACCCATTTCTGAGCAGGCCTGTCGACAGATACATGCTGGCTGGCCAGGTTCTTTCGCGGGAGGCTCGCGGCCGGGGATCGACGATCAGATCTTCTGGGGCGCGCTTCCATGTGGAAGGGGGGCTGGGGCTCGGGGAGGCGCCGTGTCGCCACGGCTGGATCCGCGTCGACACTGTTGGCCAAGCGTATTCCTGGACTGGTCCGAGTGCCGATGCAGCTGGAGGATGGCAGGAGGAAGGAGAGCAGGAGGAGCAGGAGGAGCAGCAGGAGGAGGAGGAGGAGGAGGAGGAGGAGGAGGAGGAAGAGAGAGGGTGAGGGTCGGGAGATGAGAGGGATGACGTAGTGGAGGGGGGTGGAAGCGAGAAGGAGGGCACGATGGAGCCAGCACGGAGGTCACCGGCACCGAATGTGGCGGGAGGGAAGCCCGAGCTCACTTTCGCTGGCAGATGGTGGGATGGGTGCTTCCGACTCTGCCGGGCTGCACAGCGGGATGGGTATCTCCAAGCGGCTTCAGTGGGCATGGCACGTCAGGCACGGTACTCATGGTTAATTTCAAATGGGGGGCAAGATTTTTTCATTTCTAATTGTTCTATCCTGGGCCTCTTCCTGGCCACTAGGGGGCCAGGAACAATTAGAACCGAGCACAATAAGAAATGAGCACGATTAGAAATGAACGACGTGTATCTCCAAGCGGCTTCAGTGGGCAGGGCACGGCAGGCACGGTAGGTGCTTCAGTGACTGGATTCTCTCCGTTGTTTGTGCCAACGCGCTCGCCGGCAGCGGGCGGGACGGGACGTTCCACACCGCATGCTGAGATGTTCGGTGGTGTGGCAAAGGCAGGCCTGGCGGCGGCTCCGTCGTCGGCTCCGCCTTCGGCGTGTGGCGCGTGCGCGGCCTCGCTGGCGTCCAAGGGGGCCCTCCGCTCGTGTGCCGCGTCGGCTCCGAGGCTCCCGAGAAGGCTGCGGCCCTGGCTCGGCCCCGAGAAGGCCGAGGCCGCCCTGTGGACGGAACCCACGGTCGGCGCGGCCCGTGGCGCGGTCGCCCGCAGGCTGGATCAGAGGAGGGAAAGGTACCCATACCGCTACCCTGCCCTTGTTTTCCCCTTTTCTCGGGCCTCCTGGGAGGCCCCCGTCGCCACCGCTGGAGTCGCCCCGAAATCCTTGTCAGAACGCGCCCCAGGAGGGGTCTGGGGAGTAGCGGTATCGGTACCTTTCGGTTTCCCCAGTGGAGTCGCTGGAGGGAAGCTTGGGTTCACGGTCGCGGGCAGCCAGCGGGGTGGGTATTCCCAAGGCTGCCGGGCTGCTCGAGGGGTTGGGCATGTCCGGCGGCTCCGACGGGCAGGGGCCAGCAGGCGTTGCAGCTGCAGCGGCCGGATCATCTCCGTCGTCGGGGCCATCCAGTTCGTCGGCAGCCGGTGGGCTGAGTTTACCAGCCTGGAACATATCCCTATCCCTAGGCTGGGCGCCTCCTCATCACGATGCCAATCTTAGGGGTTCCCTTATCATCATACCTACCGGTGTGATCTCGCACTGCTTTATTTCGACCGACCGTGTGCCCATAATGCGGTCGTGCTGGTGGTTGTGCTGGCGGCCGTGCTGGTGGTCGTGGTTGGTGGACGTGCTGGTGGTCGTGCTGGTGGTCGTGCTGCTGGCCGTTCTGGTGGAGGTGCTGGCA